TTTCAAAATTGGCGCCGACGGAACGCCGGCGCAGCCCATCACGTATTCGATGAAGGCTGAGATATGGCGGGAGCAGTGCAGGTGCTCAATGATCTCATTCGCCGAAGATCGAACGGCGTACTGATGAGCAGTTTCCCGACACTACAAGGGCAGTTGCATGAATCGCGGAGGGTGTAATTCGGGCGGTGAGTATCGCTTGGCGGTCACGCCGCGTTGCATATCAGAGTCGTGTTCGCCATCCTAGATGAGACCGACACCAGAACTGCGCGCACGCGGACTGTTGCCACAGTCGTTATCAAGCGCTTCGTCACGAAGTCAGCCAAGCACACGGCTTCGGTACGCACCTGCTCCTCTCATTGATCCTACCATCTTACATACATTGGAGGACCGTTTTCACGCAGACGATCATCTCATCTCACCACCGCCTCCGCCCTACTCGAAGCACAGTAATCGAAGCAGTCGGAGGTAGCAAAGCATGCCCGGCATGGCCGTGTACGGCTCCACACCAGCTAGGCCTTCATCAACGGCGATACCTTACCTTTCCCGACGCAACTTCCCGTCTAACAAAACCAACCTCAAGGCGAAGGCAACCTCTCGGGGCGAGCACGCGATCGGACGGGTCGATGGGAGTCGTACGCGTATATGCGAGTGGTGGCGGGTGGGTAAGGCGGGTAACATGGGAGTATGCATCATTGTCGTTGAGCCTGAGGACTACATCAGCATTCATATCGTACGACAAGTATTTACTACCGGATTTCATTGACCAGCACCGTCGTCTTCGACTTGTATTTCCAGCTAATATCACTATATGGGCTAAACGCGACGTCTGTAGACCCCGGCACGTCACCAATTCAGGTCAACCATATTCATGAAGATGTCCGGCCGTAGTGAAAGTTGGACAACAAGATACCTCTCCACTCCACGATATCCAGCGAACCACGCACCGGCCCACTCAGGATGAGCTCTCCTCGTAGCACTCGGCCCACTTCTCGCCGTGAGCAAAGTTGCTCAGATCAAGCGTGGTCACCGCACCCAAAGCTATGATGGTCCGCCTGTTCTGCGGTCTCCATATGTCACGATTCTGAACCGGTATCCAGATCAGGCGCCGATCGTCAGGTCCCATGAGCCACCCGTCGTCCTTCAGCGTGAACGAATCGTCGATTTGGAACCGTGACATCTGTTCAGCGCCAGGGACTATGAGCTGAATGTTGGCAAGAGCGTGATTCTTGTTTGGTGAGAACGATGCGGACTGCGGTTGGGTTGAGACCACGCAATCGTCTACTATGCCGGTGAGTGAGATCAAGTGAAACGTTGAGGTGACGCACCCCGTGGTCCCTCGACATCGTCAGCCTGCCCCGTCGAGGCATCCCAGAACCGGATCGTGTCGTCGGTGCCGCGTGATATGATGCATTTGCCATCTGGTGAAAATGCCACCGTTCGGACCCACCTCGTGTGACCCCGAAACGGCTCGCGAATCGCCTCCCCGGTGACCGCATCCCAAACGCGAACTGTACCATCCTCTCCGCCCGAGGCCACGCAGCGTCCGTTCGGCGAGAAAACGACGGAGTTAACGCAATCGTCATCGCCACGCCAAGGACCGCAGATCGTCTGTCCCGTGGCAGAGTCCCAGATCCGAATGACGCCAGCGCGGTCACTGGAGACGAGATAAGCGCCATCTGGCGAAAAGGCAACGCAATATACTGGTTTGGTGTGCCCCTCCAATGGTGCGCATACAGTCTGACCTGTCTCGACGTCCCATAGGAGTATTGTGTGGTCTCGTGCGCCCGATGCGATGCGCTTCCCATCTGGTGAGAAGGCAAGGGATGTGACCTCATCAGTGTGACCTTCGAGAGGTTCCTGTGAACGCTCCCCGGTGGAGATGTCCCATATGTGTATAGTCTCTTCTGAGCGTGACAATGCGATATACTTCCCGTCCGGAGAGATTGCTGCAAGGTTTGGCCAACGGCGTCGAAAGTTTGGAACTTGGAACTGGCGAATCTGTTGACCGGTGGAGACTTCCCACACGCGAACGTGACCGGTGGAGACTTCCCACACGCGAACGTTGTAATCCTCCGACCACGACAAGACACGGTGTCCATCGGGTAAGAACGCAACGTAGCGTAAGTCGGCGGTGTGTTCCGGCCAGGGCTGCCCTCGAACAATCATTCCCGTCGAGACATCCCACACGCGAATGTCGTCGTTGTGCCAAGTGACAATACGCTCCCCATCCAGCGAAACAGCCATACCGTCGCCCAGGCCAGCGAATCTTCTGACAATGTCCTTCTCAGTGCGTCGGGTTGAAGCATTCCACACGCGCACAGTCCTGTCGTATGATCCGGAGACGATGTACTGGCCGTCTCCCGAGAACGCTACAGAATTCACCTCGTCAGAGTGACCATGGAAAGTCGTGCAAAGGGCCTGTTTTTTTGTGTCCCAGAGATAAACGGCACCGTCTAGAGAACCGGATACAACGAACTTGCCGTCCGGGGAGATCGCCAACGCTGTGACACTGCTAGTGCGGCCCCGAAGAGGGGACCCGATAGGCTGGCCGGAGTTGGGATCCCACAGCTGCACGGTCTCGCCGCCCGAAGCAATCCATTTTCCATCCTGCGAGAATGCAACATAGGATATACCGTATGGACGGCCGCGCAATGGCTCGTGCACGAGTGTTCCCGTTGTGGTATCCCATAAGCAAATCATTCCATCATCTGAACCTGAGACCACCCAGTTAGAGTCAGGCGAGAAAGCCACGGAACGGACCCCGGCCGTATGTCCCTGGAGTGGTGGATGGACGAGCTTCTCAGACTGCACATCCCAAATACAGACCGTCGGTGGATGGACGAACTTCTCAGACTGCACATCCCAACCACAGACCGACTTGTAAGACGAGCCTGACACAATCTGCTTGCTGTCAGGAGAGAAAGCAACCGATAGAACCCGCGCCATATGCCCTCTGAGCGTGTGAATATGCTGCCCTGCGGTGGTGTTCCAAACCTGAATCGTGCAGTCCTGCAACCCCACCACTATGAGGTCTCGCGCTGAGGAGAAGGCGGCAGAGCAGACATCACTATCTGTATCACAGCGCACAGGTCGACGGGCCGGCTGTCCAGTCGCCGCATCTCGCACATGTATAGTGCAGCATGATGATCCGAGCGAGACAAAGAAGATGTGTTTTCCATCGTCGGAGAATTCCGCACAGAGGACGTTGTCATCGCCGTCCATGGTGCATTCCAAGGTGGGCCATTCTGATGATCCACCGCACACAACCGTAGCTGTTCTGGGGAGCTTTGATTCGTACAGCTGGCGCACTTGTGACCTCGCCGGTGCAAAAGGTACGGCTGAGAGATAAATGTGGGGGGCAGAAGACCCGATCACTACCCCGAAAGCACGGATGAACTTCAGGAAGTCCTCGATAATTGAGACCGTTTCCGGTCCTTCCGCAGTGTCCTAAGGGCGAAAGATGTATGTGAGCCGCAT